CATTAAACATTTGAAGCTCATCTGGTCCAGGAATTTTTATCAATTCTCCCAATCCGGCTAATTTTCAAAACTACCTTTTTATTGATACTAATTTTTTTTTAAATCTCTTCAGTTTCATAATTCCCTTGGTCACCTGGCATTTCTGGGAGATTTTATTTATCTTCTTCCATGAAGACAGATGCAAAGTAACTTTAATTTTTCCATCATTTCCCTGTACTCCACCATAAATTCTCCTTAACAGCAATGTCATTAATTAGTCCTTTCTCATTACACAGCTCCAAATACAAATTAGCCCAATCCCTAATTGGCTCGTAAATGTACTGTACCAGAAATCTAGCTTGTGCACACTCCAGGAACTCAAATTCTTCAGCATTAGTGGCAACTTAATTAACCTGAGAGATATGCAAATTGAAGCAACTCATTTTTGCCAGTACTAACATTATACGCATCTCTAATTTCCAACATTAGTACTACCATTTAGTGTTCTATAAACTAATCCCACCAATTTTACTTCCCTTGCAGTTTACTAGCTCCATCAAGCTGATTCTATAACTTGATCCTTTGAATGAAAATCCTCTCACAAATGTACTGATGTCATCTCTTATTAGGAGTGCAATCACAAAACCTTTACTTTTTTGTCCAGCCCTCCTAAATATAGCAGATCTATTGATCTTCAGTTCCCAATCATGATCACCCAGTAACTACATTTCTGTAATAGCAATGAAATCATATCCATTCATCTCAATTTGTGCATTCAGATCATCAACTTTTTTTTACAACACTCATTTAGATTGAGTACCACTAATTCAGCCTTTATAAGATCATTCTCCCTTTGGATCCTATTTAATGCTTGTCATTGCTTTATCTGTCTTCTGTCTGTACTGACTACTCTTCTACTAGTTTGTTTCCCTTGAACCTGAGCTCCCTCTCAGGTTTTCACTTCCAGTTAAACTAGTTTAAACCCTCCCCAACAGCATATGTAAATCTCCCCATGCGGATGTTAGATCTGGTCTTGCCAAACAGCAACTAATCCAACCATGTATAGATCCTAATTATGCCAGAACCAGACCAATGCCTCAAAAATCTAAAGCCCTCCCCTCCTACACAGTCTCGTATCCATACGTTCAATTGCTCTGTTCTGCTATTTCTATGGTCACACAAGGTGGGACTGAAAGTAATCCTGAGATTACTGCTTCAGAGGTCCTCCTTCCTAACTCCTTAAAATCTATTTTCAGAACTTTATCCACTTTCCTACACAAATAATTGGCACTGTCATTGACCATGACCTCTGGGTACTTACCCTCAGTTCAATATCTTGCAGTTGTTCTGTGATATCCTTTATCCTGGGGCCAGAGAGGCAACATATCCTAGAGTCATGTGTATGGCCATAGAAATGCCTGTATTTTACCCTAAAGCAACACTGTCAGTATCTCTTTTCCACTTTTCTTTTCTCCCACTCCTTTTTGGCTAAGCTGCCCATTGTGCCCCTGACTTGGCTCTGAAAGCACCTGAGGCACCACTGTCCTCACCAACATCCAAAGCAGAAAACCAACTTGTGCACAAGATCATTTCATCGATTTCCCCAATACCCACCTGATTCTCTTGAACTGTCCAGTGGTCTTCCTTACCTTATCTGCCTGCACAGCCCTAAGCTGTGGTGTGATTTTCCATTTTTCTTCATCATAAGATCTGAGGGCTGCTGCTGTTGTTTACAGTTTTGATGACTCTTCGATTACACCTCACTCCAAAGACTTCTGCAGGTAGTCTCAGACTTTCTTTGAGATGGAGTGGAAGCTGATGTTAAGAAATCTTTACTGGACAGTCATCTTTAATCACAATCACAGGACTAACCAAGTCACAATACCCAATGTCATCAACACTTAAAGTTATTTCATGCTTAGTGGCAGCAGAAATAAGTTGCCACCTCTGGGTCTCCTCCAGTCAGTCTACTGTCTAGTGGCAATGTTTTATTGGCATTCTCAATTAGAGGTAAATATCTTTGTCACTGTTGACTTACATGGCTATTCTACATATTTTACCCACAGATATGAGGGTGACGTCCAGTTTTACACAAGTGACAGCTCTGCTATATGTGATGTGACACTTTTGCAAGGGCAGATGTCGACCAATTGGAGACTTGTGGCATGAGCCTTCAAGAGCCTGAGAGTCAGTGAAAGAACAACACAATTCTCTGCTACGTGAATGGATCAAATGTCCCGTACTGGCAGATAGGCCTTGATTGGATGGAGCAAGGTCAAAGATCCCAGAGCCTCACCTGCAAACCTCAATGTGCTGCTCATGCCAGTCATCATATACACACTCCAAGGACCTTATATCTTTTAAACACATTGGACTAACACCATGAGTATTGTCAACTTTCTTACACCAAATGGAGTATTGGTCGTGTCATGAGTTTCCAGATACCCAAGCTATGCAAAATGAGACTGAGCCTATTGCAATCATGAAGACAATGTTTTCTCCTGTGAAGCAGAGACCCAGAAGTGATGTTCAACACTCAGTACACCTTAGTAAGAGGCTCTCAGGAAAATTAGTTACAATTGACTCTTCTGCTCCTGTATCAATTAGGCATGAGACTTCTACTTGCCAAATTTCATGCTTGCTGTAGGGGAAGTTTATCACTCTGCATGTAATGAGGCTCTACTTGAAAGAACCTTACCTTACCTGAAAGAATGCCACCTCAACATACCCCCTGCTCCCCAACGCTTTCAGACTGGCTTTTGATGGAAGCCCCAAATCATTTAATGTTTGGTGAGAAGGGAAGACCATTGCACTGAATGATGAGTCTATGCCTGATGGCAGTCTTGTTTGAAATGTCAAGTCCCATCACAACTCCAACACCACTTGGGAATGGCCCTTGGGCAAGACTGGCCATAGACTTACCATGGAGTAAGGGCAGCAAGATTTAAATCTGTAGGTGCTATGCAGCAATTTGTTCTGCCTACATTTTCAGCCTGACATTTATATCCCCTTCTGCACCAATAGTCACTTCCCCAATGGCAGCCTCTCTCCTTCAATCTTTTCCAATTATCTGAATGACGTGATCCTGCACTTCAAAGGACAATACAGGCTTGTCACTACTATGCTTCCTCAACTCCACCTGGAAATTCCCATCACTCACAGCTTTTGCCAAGCAGTCCTTCAACTACTTGTCCCCAAGGCAATTTGGAGAAGAGAGCCAGGAGGATTACATGATTGAACCATTTCATCACCTCTGGGGAAATGCAGACTAGGTCCTCTCCTTCGATGTGCTTATAAATCATGAAAGCACTGCTACTGCTCAGGCTATTACTGCCCTCAAAACTCCTGGTCTCTGCACTCAAAGATCCACTGCACACTTCTTTAGAACATCTGAACCTCTTCCCAGTATTTGCCAATGGGTTTTTTTGTGCAAATGTTCCATCGTGAATGCTGCCATCTCACTTGTGTCAAGGCTTCTGGATGCCCCAAAAACTGAATATCCTCAATCCAGTCTTCAATCACCAAATCACTGGGCATTTTCAGTCCTTCTCAGAATCTGTTCAGCCTCTAACTCATCAGCAAGTAAATCAAACCAGGAGTCCTGCTTCTTTCCTCCAAAGCACTGAGGGAATGCACATACCGAGCCTCTAGTTGGATTTGGCCTCAAGGTCTGATTTCCTCTGTCGATGCTGAGCCTCTAATGATAATCGGGGCAGCCTGAGCCACCCTTGTGGCCATTGCCAGTTTGAACTCCTTGGCTATCTGAACAATCTTAGCCAAAAAGAGTCACACTGCCATTGATACATTAACTCTGTTTCTCTCTCCATAGATGCTGCCGTACCACTGAGAAGATGCAGAAACCAGTAGAGAGGTTTAAAATCCTGAAGGATTTTTATCCAGTAAAGAACAGTGGAGGAAGGGTTGGAAACCAAAGGAGAAAGATTTAAGCTGATTAGCACATCAAACAGGTGACGTGAGGAAACCTTATGCAGAGTGCCGGAATGGTGGCTCAGTGGTTAGTACTGCTGTCTCACAGTACTAAGGACCCAGGTTTGATTCCATCCTTGGGTGACTGTCTGTGTGGAGTTTGCACTTTCTCCCTGTGTCTGCGTGAGTTTCTCCCTTCAGTGCAAAAATCTGCAGGTTAGGTGGATTGGCCTACTAAATTGCTTATAGTGTCCATAGATGTGGAGGCCAGATGGATCAGCTACAGGAAATGCAGGGTTACAGGGATAGGGTGGGATGCTGTTTGGAGGGTTGGTGTGACGCTGTTTGGAGGATGGCCAGCTTCCCACACTGTGGGCATTTTATGAATGAATTGTTCTGATCTTGAAAGCATTGTCTGAAAGGGTTGCAGAGCATATTAAGTGCAACTTTTTTTTAAAAATGGAAAAGATAACGAATATTACACAAACACCAAGGGAAAATGCTACATGACTGGGGAAACAACAGGGAGGTGAAGCTCAATGAAGGTCACAGATACGAAAATTAACTCGTTTCTTAGGTACACCTAAGTAATTCCTGCATTTTTGTTGTTTTATTTCCACTTTCCATCATTTGCTGTGTTTTGCTTGTGTGTTGCATTGGTTCATATAGGACAAGTTTTGCAGTTGATGGTCCTAACGTCTTCGGTAGACTAGGCTGTTAACCTAAAGTTAACTTAAATAACAATGAATGAACTGGCTTGCTTACTTCAAGTAGAGCTGTTTTTCGTAGCCGTACAGTATTTGGATAAACGATACATCAGTGAGCAAACACGTTTACAGAGAATAGTTGAACTACTTTATTAACGATGCCACGTATACAATTCTGCTCAAAGGGTCCTCCATGATTCCCCATGAATTACAGATTAAAGGACAGCGAATTCCATTGTTTCAATTAGAGATAAGTAGGGAATAGGATGTGGGCTCCGCATTCACATGTGTGTTAGTTGGGTAAAGCTGGAGGCTTCATGCAGAGATGAGTTTGCACAGCCCTAATTCCGTGATCGGTTAGTGATGGGGTGGAGTTGTCAAACTTACCGATCCTCTGTACTTCTCCAGTGAAATTAGCTTCCCTCTAATGTTCACACTCTTAAATGAGTAAAAATCTTTGTTTTTCTCTTCGGTTGGCAAGACGAATAACAGCAGAGCTATGATCGCCGCGAGTAACATGACTATGAAGAGTAAACTGGAGCTGAGTTGTGGGAAAGAGACAGCTCTGCTTGGCGCCTGCTGCTTCTGGGCTGTTTGCTGCATTTCTGACTGGCTCTGACACCGCAACAGGGCACGTTCCCAGTCGTCTCCCACACAGAGCAACCATCCGTACCTGACGTAAGGCGGTGCTGCAAAACAGTCGTAATGAACTCCAAAAATTTAACTGTCGCCAAGAAGAATCATTCACTTTTCAATTAGTTGTTTTTGTTCCATCCACCGCTTCTAAAAGAATCATCAATGTCGGACAACTCGAGTCACATCTCCTGGATTCGGAATAAACTTTAGCTCACCTTTTGTCTGCTAAGCACCTGGACATATTTGTTAAATCTCAAGTACTCAGGATAATCATAGCTTTTAACTTCAGTAGATAAGAAAATCGAGACGGCCGAACGGTCATTCCTAGTCCTGAATCCCACTTCCTGGGGATAATATGCTCCAACTTCTCAAAACGTGTGCTTTTTCTTGTCCAATACAGACGGACAGACTGGATTAAACTAATGTCGCCGAATGAAACTAACATAAATGTCCCCTTGTAAGTGGGCATAACTAATAGAAGAGGATCATAAAGTAAAGGGAACTTTTACATTGATTAATAAAGATTTCAGTATTATCAATTTTTAGGCAGTCCCTCAGGTTTGAGAATGACTTGATTCTACTCCAGTGAGTTCTGAAAGGGTTAATATGTCCAATGTGAATAGAATTAAACACAGGTTTATTAAACAAACAACAATATTCTTGATTTACTGTGAAAGGACATATTCAAAGACGTAAAGCTGATGAACATTCGTTTTCAAAACGAAACTACAAATATTTACCCTTCTAAATAAACTCCATACACACAAAAATTAAAAACAAAAACGTTCTTGGCAGTGGTTAATTTTGAAAACAAATTTCACCAATAATTCTTAATTTTTGAAGGAAAAAGGGATAAGGTATGAAATGGACACAATGGCTTTCAGTGTGTATTCTGTCAAATATAGTTGTAACAGGGAACGTTGCAGATGCAGGTTATTTAGGGAATGTTGATGACACAGAGGATTTTTCAGGAGAACAGCTAAATCAGTGTTTCTATTATCACACACCGGACCCTCCAACAAGATTTCCTCAGGAGAGAGGACAAGCTGCATAGGCTGTACACCAACTGAACTCTAAACAATATCCAAACAACTCCTGATGTCCATAAACCTATTTGATTTTCAGTAAATAAGTCTAAGCAATTAGATTAAGCCATGTGAATTCTAAGTCTTGAAATAAAATGTCCCAATATCACTTTAGTGACCCATTTTAAAAAGAAAGTATTTTTCCAGCACTCCAAACGAATAACCGTCCACAATCTTTTAAACATGAATCCTCAAAAAAAAGTGTGTCTTCGTCATATTAAGAATAATTAACCAATAAACTGGATGTTGAAGTTTATTCTCAACAACCGCAAACTGCCCACTATTAAACAGTGTTTTGCTATAAGTTAAAAGGTAGTCAGCTTTGGTGATGAATAAACAATATGGTCCAAACACAAGTTGTGAAACATCCTGAAGGTATGTAATGTCCTGTCTGACAAGAACGAGAGCCTGGTAATGTATTCAACCACAATCTATAACCTGGCATTTCCCTTACTCAACCATTACCATCAAAAGGAGAACAACATCAAAGAAGAGTGCAGGAGGGCTTGCCAGGAGCAGCACCACGCAAATTTAACACTGAGCTGCCAACCTAGTGAAACAACAGCAGAGGACTACTTGCATTGTCAACAATATAAGCAGCGTGCAATAGACAGGGTTAAGTGATCCCACAGCTAACAAATCAAATCAAAATTTTGCAGTATTCACAGAATCCCTACAGTGTGGAAACAGGCCCATCAGTCCAACAAGTCCACACCAACCCTCACAGCATCCCACCCAGACCCATTCCCCATCCCCATAATCCACCTAATCTACACATCGCTGAACACTACAGGCAATTGATCATCACCAAACCACCTAGCCTGCACATTTTTGGACTGTGGGAGGAAACCCACGCAGATACGGGGACAATGTGCAAACTCCACACAGACAGTCACCTGAGGGTGGAATCGAACCCAGGTCCCTGGCGCTGAGGCAGCAGTGCTAACCACTGAGCCACGGTGCTGCCCTACTGCCACATATAGTCATGAATAGCAGTAGATAGTTAAACAATTAATCGGGGGAACAGTCTCCAAAAAGATCCCCATCCTCAATGGTAGGGAAGCCCAGCAAATCAATGCTAAAGACAGGGCTAAAGCATTTGCAACCATCTTCAGCCAGTAGTGCCACGTGGATGATCCACTTTGGCCTCCTTCTCAGGTCCTCAGCATCACAGATGCCAGTCTTCAATCAGTTTACTTGGTTTCATATGATATCAAGGAACAACTAAAAACACTAGATGGTGCAAAAGTAATGGGCTTGACATTTTGGCAGTAGTACTGAAAAACTTGTGCTCCAGAACTAGTTGTGCCCCAAGCCAAGCTACTCCAGTACAGCTACAACATTGGCATCCACACAGGGTTGTCAGAAATTGTGCAGGTGTGTCCTTTCCACAAAAAGCAGGACAAACTGAACCCTGCCAATTAACACACCATTAGTCTACCCTCAGTCATTAGTGAAGTGTTGGAAGTGTTGTTGGCAGTGTTATCATGCAGCACTTATACAGCAATAAAATGCTCACCATCATTCAGTATGATTTCTGTCAGGGCTATTCAGATTCTAACCTTATTGCTGCCTTGATCCAAACATGTACAAAAGAGCTGAACTCAAGAGGTGAGGGGAGAGTTACTGTCCTTGACATCAAGACAGTACTTGTTTGAGTGTAGCATCTAGGAGCCTTAGCAAACATTAATTCGATACCAACTGGGGGAAAAAAAACTATCTCTGGTTGGAATGATAACCAGCACAATTGTGGATTTTGGAGGTCAATTACCTGACTCCCAGGATATAGCTGCAGGAGTTCCTCGGGGTAATGAGTTATGCCTAAACAATTTAATCAATGACTCACCTTCCATTATAAAGGTAGAAGGTAAGGAATGTTCATTGATAACTGCACAGTTCTCAGCACCATTTGCAACTCCTCAGATATGAAATGGTCTGAGCCCATATGTAGTAAGATCTGGACAACTTTTTGGCTTGGAATGATAAGTGACAAGTATCATTCACAGCAGACAAGTGCCAGGCAATGGCCATTTTCAACAGGTAAGAATCCTGTCATCTACTTTTGCAAGTCAATAGCATTACCATCACTGAATCTCTTATGATCAAATTTCTGGGCATTACCATTGACCAGAAACCGAATTGCACCATCTACATAAATACTCTGGCTACAAGAGCATGTCAGAGGTTGAGAATTGTGGCAAAAAATTTCACTTCCGGTCTCCCCAAAATCTGGTCACCATCCACAAGGCACTATTCAGGACTGTAATGGAATAATCTCCATTTGCCCGTATGAAAGCATCTTCAAGACACTCAAGAAACTTGACACCATCCAGGGCAAAGTAGCTCATTTGAGGGGCACTTTATCTCACACCTTCAATATTCACTCCCATCAACACTGACATATAGTGACAGTGGTGTGTACCATCTACAGGATGTGCTGCAGCAACTCATCAAACTTGCTTCAACAGCACACTTGAACATGTAATCCTTACCACCTGGAAGGACAAAGGCAGCAGATGAATGGGAACATTTACATATGCAAGTTTTCTGCCAAGCTACACACTATCCTGATTTGGAATTATGTTGCAGTTTCTGCATTATCAGTGAATCAAAATACTCCGTTCATACAGCACTGTGGGTGTCCCTACACCACATGAACAGTGGTTCAAGAAGTCAGTTCACTTCCATTTTGTCAACTGCAATTAGGGATGGGTAAAACCTGCTGCATCTTCACCCCATGAAATAATAAGCAGCAGCATGGATTACTTGGACTAAATGGCTTGCTGCTGCACATATTTGATATAATTTGGATTGTTCATACAGCCATAAGAAGATGTTTCACTTTTATAGAGCTTTTATTTTGGTTTCATACAGTCAAATCTATGGGAACAATAGCACCAAGATGTATTTTGTTTTGTTTTGTTTTTACAGAGTGTTTACTTTGATTGGATTTCTAAAGCCTATTTTCTTCAGCTACCTAGACCTATGTTTGCAGCAGGAAGAATCAGCACAAATTGTTTCCAGCTGCCACTCATGCTTCCTGCAAGTGTCAAAAAGTAAAGGAGGGACCCTCTTGTGGTGCGGTGGTAGTGTCCATACCCCTGGACCAGGAAACCTAGGATCAAGTCCCACCTACTCTAGAGGTGTGTAATGTCATCTCCAAACAGGGGTTTCAAAAAAAGGATTAAATTTTTTAAAAATTACAAAGTGAAAGAGGATGCACAGTTGGGACTCTCACATTGGAAACTACAAGTGAGAATATAACCCGTATTATTATAGTTTTCAGGAAGTCTACTGAAATGTTGTCTTTTTTTCCCCCTCTAGTTTAACCTAAGTTTGTTCTATTTATGCCTATACAGAAAACAAAACATTGAATCAATTGAACACATTTCTTTATCAAGCAGCAGGAATCACTTGTGATTTTTTTGTGCTACTGTATTCAGTTCTTCCATCTGTTGTAAAATTGTATAAATATGATCTTTTACAGATTTATCATGTTCACTCAGTGCATTGTATTCAATGTGCCCTCAAATGGACAATAAAAAAGGCATAATTTACACATTTATGAAAAGGTTGTATTTCTTTGTAGAATTTGGCTTCTTCCCTCAATACTATCAAACTAAAAAGGGGAATAAAGCCTAGAGGTTCAGATAATTTACTTGATTTCAGCAAGGCACATCAATGAGGTTGGAAAGGCTGCATTTACTGCCCACATCTAGTCATCATGGGAAGCTGGTGTGGATCTTTTTGAACTAGTGCAGTTCTTGCAGTAATGGTTGTCCACAAATGCTGTTAATCAGGAATTTTAAATTTAGTACTAATAAAGCAATGAATATATATAGAGAACACAAGAAACAGGAGTAAGGGGAGGCTGTTCAACTCTATCAGTGTTTACTGCCATTCACAAGGTAAGGACTGATCTTCATGATTTCCCACAAAGGGTGGTAGATATTTGGAATTCTCATTCATAAGTGGCAGTGGATATTGAATCAGTTGTTAATTTAAAATTTATAATAGACAAACATATGCTAAGCAAACATACTAAGGGATTTGGGCCAAAAGCAGCTGTATTGAGTTAGGCCACAGATCACCATTGAATGGTGGAACAAGCTTGAATGGCCTATTCAAATTGCTGAGTTCTTAAATATAAACCCCAATCATACGATTCCTCATTTTTTGTAAAAACTGACAACTTATTGAATACTTTATGGAAATCCAAATGTACTGTTCACTGTTTCCATACCTACACTGCTAATTACAACGTCAAAAACTTGAATGACAGCCAATGAATATCTTTTCATAAAAGAAATGAAAAAAAGTGTGATTTTTCTGGCTACCATATCCTGAAAAAAAATATTATTTTCTCCTCACTACTGCATTTTAATTCCTCCCCACGTAATTCAGTCTTGCACACCTGACAGTATGCAGTTCAAGTTGAAGCATAATCTGCCATAAAAATCCATGTTTTTTTTTCTATAAAACCAATAAGTTAAGGTTACAGAGAAAGGAAATCCTAATGGACAATTGTTTATCCATTTTTTTTTCTTCGCAAATGTCTTACAGCATGCATGCC